CTCTCTCTCCCTTCCGCTTTCTCTAAAAAAAAAAAAAATCAATAAAAACATATTTAAAAAAATAAAAGAAAATAAATTATCTGTTTTCCAACTTAAAATAGAATGTGCCTTAACCACAATAGTTTTCGTAATTGGAAGCCCCACATTTAACTGTCAGGTAGAGCCTGAGATGACTGTGACAATAGGAATATTCTTCTGAGTTATCCCCTGAGATGATTATGGCTGTTCTTGCACCGGTGACTCTCAAGTCTGTTAGATGTAAACGCATACTTCTGGGGAAAGTCACTTCTCCGGTTAACTTGCGGTTTTTATGTGGCTGTATTTTTGTCACTTCCTGATGGCAGAGAATTTGTTCCATATATTTGGAACTAACTGTCTCAGCTCTTGTCAGAAGCAGCGCTGGGGGAGTGGAAGTAAAGGGTGGATTTCTGGAGCAGTAGTTTCCCTGCAGTGAGCCAGGTCGTCAGAGTTGCTTGTGTGTATCCCATTGCCTGGGCTTTTTCCCAGAGAAACACTAGAAAGTTAGGCTGTGGAGTTTATTGAGGGACACAGTGAAAAACTGTTGTAGAATGTCACACGGTGGTCTACCTGGTCTGTGCTACTGCTCACTGACTCTGTACAGACCTGAAGGGACCATCCTGGAGCTGAATTAGAAGAAAAACTTGTTCCCCCTGCATCCTCCTGACACACACAGGGATGGAGATGTACACACTCGCTCTCTGAGTCTGGAAAAGGGAGTTGAGAGCCAGACTCATTTATAAGACTTAACTAATATCCTCTATCACCCCCGTCTCGTCTCTGTTTTAGTCATTGAGCAAGTGTGGATAATGCATGCTATCTGCCTGGTGGTGTTTCTCAGCTCTTTATAAATACTAACTTCATTAGTGCTCTCAAGGACCCTCAGAAGTTAGTACTGTTGTTATCCCTATTTACAGATGAGGAAACTGAGGCATGGGGTCACACAGGTGCTGAGTGTGACACTGGGTTTCAAAATCCTGGCTCTCAGCTCCTGGGCTTTGCAGCCTCGGCAGTGATTCCCCACCAGAAACAGGTGAACGGCTTTCAGTCACAGAAATACCCAAGCCTCTTCCACTCCATCCTGCGATCAGAGCCCCTGGTCTCTATTTGCCTGGCTCTCTGACTCGGCATTGCTCTTCTGACGGTCATATTCTGTAAGTTGGATCATTTACTTGAGTCCTTCCTGAAGTAATGCATGGTAATATGCTTCCGATGAAAATAAATCATGAATTTTGGTGACACTTTTAAAAATGGGTCCTTTCTGAACATGACACATTAGGGTCTATGCAGATAGTCTTTGGACTAGTAAGCACGAATGCACACCCCCATTTTTATTCTTTTTGACAGGGGCACACGTTTTATGTTTGACTAAGTGAAAGTCACGCTTAGCTTTGTAATTGAATAAAATCTGCGCGCTGATGACATGATTAGTATCATTAATACCATGTTATCAACAATTATAACCGTCCACAGACTTAAATTATGGCCCAAGAGCGACAGCCTGGTTCCTGAACTTGACTTGTGCTTTCTACTTAAGAAACACAATGTTGCCATTTTGTGAGCTTCTCTGACCTGAAGCTTCTCCCCGTTTGGCACTCATGGCTTGTTCTAAGTGTGGCTGTGTGCAGATGCATGAAAACCTTGCCCTTCGACATGTCTCCTTGAGAAATCTCTTTGTTAACCCAGTTCTTACTTTATCAGGTATTTCTCGAAGCCGGCGACATTCAACAGTTTTCATCTTGTGGCACACATAAACTAATTACTAACATTCTGTGGCACACCAAAAAATATACTTTTTGCCGATCTGACAAAATATAGGTATAGTTTTGATTTATTCACACCAGACGGCCGTTGTCATTTTTTTATTTGACATTCTAAGAGAAAAGAGGTCAGTGCCCCTGACTAAATAGTTAGCTATTGCACGTTTTAAAAATTCTTGCAGCACACGGGTTGAAAATCGCTGCTCTAAGCTAATTTAACTCAACTTCATAAATAGGTAATTAAATTGATCCTTAGGATAGAGTAGCTCCAGTTGGCAGGTACATAGCCCGGTGAGATCATTGGTGGTGTGAGCACTGCAGCAGTCACTGGAGCTAGGGACAGGCACAGCTTGGGGTCCCCGGAGGCCGCACGTGTATGTACCTTTAATATTAAGGACCACAAGACCCCTTTGGTTCTTTTACTGCCCAATGGAATATGAATATACATAATTTTTTCCTAACAGAACCTCGGTGCTGTAGAGATATCTTAAATATGGGGAACCTCTGAAGGGTTCAAGGAGAGTAGAACATCAGATAGACTGATGTGGAAATTTGGGGAAGGGACTGAGGGAGGGATTGCTATAACCATGGAAACATGATGGTGGCTGGAAACAGGTCGGGTCAGTGGGCTGTGAATGAAGTCGAGAGAGAGGGTAATAGCTGGAGTAACATTCCCAGTGAAATGAGAAAAGCATCCTCCAAGGGTGGGTGGTCTTTGTAAAGCATTATCCATGTCCCTCTGAGAGTGTTTTACGGTATGTGAAACATAAAACTTAAGCTGCTTACCTCTTATTATGGGCCTTACTGGAATATGGCTTTTTTTTTTAATCCTCACCCGAGGACATTTTTCCATTTCTTGTTCAGATAGAGTGGGAAGGAGAGAGAGAGGAGGAGGGAGGGAGGGAGGGAGGGAGGGAGGGAGGGAGGAGGAGGAGAGAAAGAGAGAGAGAGAGAGAGAAAGAGAGAAAGAAAGAAAGAGAAAGAGAGAGAAAGAAACATTGACGTGAAAGGGACACATTGAGTGGTTGCCACCCGCATGACCCAACCAGAGCCGGGGACAAACTGCAACCAAGGTACGTGCCCTTAGCAGGAACCGAACCTGGGTCTCTCTGGACTGCAGGCCGATGCTCTAACCTCTGAGCCAAACCGGCCAGGGTGGAATATGGCATTTTGACCAATAGAAGTTTAATTTAATCTCCACAACGCATTTCAGATGCACTTTCAGTCTTTTATTTTTGTAACAGCTTTATTGAAATATAATCACATGCTATAAAATTCACCCTTTGAAAGAGAATAATTCAGTGGTTTTTAGTGTATTTACAGAGTTGTGTGACCATCACCACCATCTGATTTTAGAACACATGCATCACCCCCAAAAAGAAACCCATTAGCATTCACTCCCTATTTCCTGCTACCTCCAGGCCCTGGCAACCACCAGTCTACTTTCTAGCTCTATGGATTTGCCCATTCTGCTCATGTCACATAAATGTGGTCTTTTGAAACTGGCTTCTTTCATTTAGTATAAGGTTGCCAGGGTTCATTAACATTGAAGCATGCGCCGCGACTTCACTCCTTTTTATTGGCAAATATTTTTATTTATAGATTCTCCCATTTTGTTTATCATTTCATCAGCTGATGCACACTGGGCTGTCCCCACTTTCTGGCTGATGTGAATAATGCCACAGTGAATATTTCCGTACAACTTTCTGTGTGGACGACTGTTTTCATTTTCCATGGGTCTATTCCTAGGAGTGACACATCCCTGAGTTCCTTTAACAGTTGAATAGTTTTGGTGAAAATGGCTTCTTAACTGGAAATCAGTTTCTGGTTGCAGATAGATATGTCCTGGGATTGTTAAACATAGATTGGAACAAAATTTGTGAGGCAGTTCAAAGATACATAGATCCACTACCAGTTGTGTGTGTGTGTGTGTGTGTGTGTGTAACTGCAGTTTGGTAGTGGATCTCAGGCTGTACTCTTAGGATGTCCGTATTGTGGTTCTAGTAACTGTAGCCTTTGGACTGTGACAGCATGTTTCCTTCTACCCACAAGCCATTTCTCAGTGACTTACAATCCATGAAAAGAGGAGAGAGAGGGATGAATAGACAGAGCACACAGGAGTTTTCGGACAATGACACTACTCTGTATGATACCATAGTGATAGGTACGTGTCATTAGAAATGTGTCCAGCCCGGTAGGAAGTGCACAGCAAGACTGAGCCCTGATGTGCAGTGAATGGTGTGATACTGGGAAATAGTGATGTCCGTGCAGGTTCCTTGATTCTAACAAATGTACCACTCTCGGGGGCTGTTGACAAGGGAGGCAGCTCTGCATGTGTGGGGCAGGGACAATGTGGGCAATCTCTGTACTTTCTGCTCAGTTTTGTTGTGAATCTGGAATGGCTCTACAACATAAAGTCTACTTTAAAAATCCATTAGAAAGTTCACAGCATCTGTAACAAAAATAAATTAATTTCACAAAAAGGAAAAAAAAAGTTCACAGCAGCTGTATGTATTTCAGAGGGAATCTTCCACCATTTGCTGTGAAGGGGACAGGTTGTATACTGCACAACAGGCAGTTTCCTGTTTGCTCTGTGTGTACACGGTCCCCTTGCCTCTCTGCAGAGCCCTTGGCTACCTGGCATCTGCCCTCGGCACCTGTGTGCTCCTTGGTCACAGTGCTCCAGCAATGCTTGCCTTTCTGTTCTTTCAACTGACCCGGCTCATTCTTGCCTCGGGGCCTTTGAACTAGCTCCTCCCTTAGTCCGGAGTACTGTTTTTCCATGGATAACCCCCATTCCCCAATTATTATTTTCTTAACTAAGTAGCATTTTCCCGGAGAGACTCCTTGACTGCTTGCTCTAAATCAGCCACTTGAGCCTTGCTCTGATTTTGACTGACTTCTCTAGGTGACATTTATCACAGTCTTCTCATTTATCTACTAGTTAGTGCCCATGTGAGCATGTGAATATCATGCGGGAAGGGAAGCTGCCTTCCCATGTTGCCCCACCTCTGAACAGGGTCTGTCATGCATTACACAAATGTCCATGAACTGAATGGCCGAGTTGCTTTTCTCCTCCTGAGATGCTGGTACCTACTAGAGCCAGTGTTTTCCTGGGGACAGTATCAGAGAGCTCTTGATTTCACCTCCACTCCCAGGAAACCAGCAAAACATAACAATAAAGCATCATTCTTATACCGTCTCACTTTTTCTGCCGTGTAGACCTATCATCCTCTGGCCCACACCACTCTTCTCAGAAAGGATCTGCTTCGAGACTGGAAGCGGCGGCTGCTTTGAGGACCAGGTGGGACTTGCTGTGCACCATCTGCAAATGGTAGGTTTGGTGCTTCCGGGCGCTGCATCGTAAGTGTAATTTGCATCAGCGGAAGGTTGGCTGCCTCCCAGTTGTCCTGCAACTTCTCTGCTGGCTTCTGTTTTCCAGTTAAGACATTTATTTCATAAATGCCTTGACAATGAGAATTTCTACTTTATTCTCAGGAGAGGGTTAGATTTCAGGCTGTTTCAGGTGAGCGGATGCTTCCTCACTCATTGGGTTGTTGTCTTAAATGCCAGCAGGAGAAATGGAGGTAACACCAAAACATCCTAGCCTCTTCCCATTACTGCCGGGAGACAGCATGCAGGGCCTGCCTCAACTGCACACTGAGAAACGTTTGTGCACTAAAAATCTTCAGAGAAACATCAGTCAGCTCTGCACCTGCTCAGCAATGTTACTGCAATTACTGCTAGTCAGGTTATTCTGCATTATAGTTATCTAAACCAAGGTTAAAGCAGTGTGGTTATTACACCCATTCTGTGCTCAATGAGGAGGAAGGAGGTTTTCTCTTTTGCAACTGAAAGTCAGTTCACTGTCTATACTAACTTAAATTTAATTTCAATGGCCATTTATTTTTGAAAATAAAAATAGCGGATGCATTTTTAATACAAAATGTTTTCTCTTTCTTCTCTACATATAAGAGCACCTTACGACTGGGGCTCTTTGGAGTCTTAGGATAGCCATTCTTTTCCATCATTACTAGTTAGTGTGGTGTTTGCCTAAAAAGACTTCAGCCCTAATATGGACCCCAGGGCCACGTAATCTCAAATTAATTAAAAAGAAATTTTTATGAATATTTACGAGTCACTTTCAGCACTGCATTCTATGGGTTTATTTGTCTTCTATCATATTCAAACTAATTCTAGGAATGTCGCTGGGAGTTGAATGCCTGTATTGGGCCTGTACTAGGAATGACAGCTATTTCTACATGTTTGACCCCAGTGACATCTCTCTCTTTGTCTGGTAGTGTCTGTTCCATTGAAGCTGGGTAAAGAAAAGAATTCATTTATTCAACAAATACTTACGGAACAATTTCTGTGTGTCGGGCACATTTTTCAATCTTCAGAACAAGGCAGTGAACAAAATAAAATCCTTGCTTTCATGGAGCTTTTAAAAAGCTCCCAGATGTCCTCAGCAAACACGTGGGAGAAGGCAGATGCAGAGAACTTGACTCGCTCTCAGGTGTCTAGGGAAAGCCCCCTTGAAGATGCAGCGGGAGCCCTGCCCGTGTGCTCAGTGGATGGAGCGTAGTCCCATGAACTGAGAGGTCTCGGTTTGATTCCCAGTCAGAGCACATGCCCAGGTTGGGGGCTCGATCGCCAGCAGGGGGCGTGCAGGAGGCAGCTGATCGATGTTTGTCACATTGATGGTTTCTATGTTTCTCTCTAAAAATTCAACAAAAACATATATATATATATATACACACACACACACACACACACACACACACACACACACACACATGAAGATGACAGCCAGACACAAGATGAAAAGGTTATTGGCATCTGTTGTGGAATATAAAACTATGCTCTAGTTTAATCTCTGTGAAAATATAGAAGCTTAGTAAAACAACAAACAAAAAGATGCCAGGTGGATGTAACTTGGGCTCGGAAATGAAAGAGGAATTACTTTTCAAGTATACCATTTTAAAACATTTTTTTCAGGTTTGTAGATTCTGCCCATATTCTGCCTCTACCATCCCCTTCCAGCCTCCATTGTCAGTGTCTAATGCATCCTTCTAGTTTCTCTATGCACAGACAAGCAAATGTGAACATGAATTCATATTTGCCCCCTTCATAAAGTAAGATAACAAAGTATACCTCTCTGCAATATGTGTTTTTCTCCTAGTGTACGTAGGAGGGTTTAACACATCGGTACTAAGAGAGCTTCCTCTTTCTTTTTTTTTTTTCTCAACAGTTACAGTGTAGTCCATTGTATGGATGTACCATAGTTTAAATAGTGACCTATTGATAAACATTTGGATTGTGGTCAGTTTGCTCTTAAACAATGCTACAGTAAATAATGTACATAAGTTATTCTGCATGTATGCAATGATATTTGTATACACTTGCAAAGTGGAATTGCAGGTCATAAAATGTGTGTATAATTTTGATAGATATTGTCAAATTGCCTCCCAGAGGAGGGTTTTCTTATTCTCACCATTGCTAGGAATGTATGAGAAGAACTGTCCAGGGTCTGGATTGTTTGCCAATTTGGTAGGTTAAATGGTGTCTCAGAGGAGTTTCAATATAGGAATACTATTTGTTCAGAATTTTCTGTGGCATTTTTTTTTTTAAGTAAAAAAATGCTCAGAAAACCAAACAGAACTAGAACTCAGTTGTTTTTATTGTACGAGTAGACTACTAAAGGTCATCTTAATTCTTCTATTATGTAATTTAAAATAATACTTGTTGATGTTAAAAATGCAACATTTGAAGTCTGAAAGCACACAGGATAGAAATACTTCTCAGGCTCATGATGTACCTAGGTGACCTGCTAAGAGTCAGACCTTTCTCCTATAGTGTGGTCCTGTATTGTACAGCTCATTGAAATAGGGCACTGCACAAAATGAGTTATCACAGACTGCTGTTCTCAGGCCTGCTTGTAAGGTTGGCCCTTGGCGGGCATCTGGGGATTTAGATTTGAGTGGGGTTTCCACCATGGTGTTACTGTGCCTGAAGTCTTCGTGCAGACAGTAATGTTTTGTGTTGAATACCTGTTTGCATTCTGGGAGGAATTTGGATACATGCCCGGCAGCAGGTGCCTATGTGAGCAGCCCCAATAAAAACCCCGGGCACTGAGTCACTAATGAGCTTCCCTGGCAGACATTTCACAGGTATTGTCACAACTTGCTGTTGGGGAAGTGAGTCTGATCTCTATGGCTCCACTAGGAAAGGACCCTTGGAAGCTCGCTGCTGGTCTCCTCCAGATGTTGCTCTACGCACCTTTTTTCCTTTGCTGATTTTGCTTTGTATCCTTTCGCTGTAACAAGCCATAGCTATGAACACAACTACATGCTCATTCTGTGAGTCTTCCTAGTGAATCACTGAACTGGAACTGGTCTTGGGAACCCTGACCCAATCAACTTTGCAAAGATTTAAATATCCTGTCTGTCTGCAGTATTAGTGGTGAGTGACACCAATATTTTTAGCGTGCAGTGAATTGACCTTTGGCATTATATCTTGACTTGCAATGTGTGTTCTATTGTAAAATGTGTAATCCCTCAGATTTCTGAGCAGTGACTTAGCATTTACATCTATAAATGGAGGCAACAAGAAGGCTGCTGGGTACTGAATGGTTTTGTTTAGTGCCGAATCCACAACTGTCATTGGTCCCCCCTGTGTCCATATTTAGGCTTAGAAGTTTCTTGCTTTGATTGTCTATAATTTGATTATTAGGTAAATGGATTTACTCAAATTCCTTTGGATTCCTAGCCACAGAATTTTAGTTACGCAGTCTGATTTCTAACTGTGCTCTGATTTTAAAGCTGATCTGCAAATAAATAATCCTAGAAACTTCACTCAGCACAGCAGAACTTTGTCTAAATAGGACATGAGGCCCAAAGATTTTGAAACAAGGTTTTCTTTTGTACAATTGTGTATTAGCATCTCATTTCAAAATTTTAGATACTCAAATGGAAAATTGACAAACATAAAGATGTATTCGTTTCAGCTGCTTTTCCTAAAGAAATTAGATGGCATCTAAAGAGAAGCGTTTATATTTATGTGGTTTAAAATGTTTGCCCTGGCCGGTTTGGCTCAGCGGTTAGAGCGTTGTCCTGTGGTCCAGAGAGACCCGTGTTCGGTCCCCGCTAAGGGCACGTACCTCGGTTGCAGTTTGTCCCCAGCCCTGGTTGAGTTGTGTGGGAGGCAGTCACTTGATATGTCCCTCTCACATTGATGTTTCTCTCTCTCTCTTTCTCTTCTTCTCCCTCCCACTCTGTATGAAGAAAAAAATGGAGCAATGTCCTCTGGTGAGGATAAAAAATAAAATAAAATAAAATAAAAAATAAAATGTTAAGTGTAGTCCAGAGCACTGGTTCTTCATGCTCACAGGTGACTGGTACATTTTTGATGATAATAACTATGAGTGACCGACAGTGTGGCAGCCACTGTTCTTTACAGATAGTACCTTATTTCATTTTCATAGCAGCTCTGTGAGGTAGCCACTGTCAACTCCGCTGAGACACAGAGGGTTTAAGCAACTTGCCAAAGTAAAGTGATTTGCTAGAAGGAGGCAGAACTGGAATTTGAATTCCGCTCACCTCCCTTCAGAGGCTGAGTTCTTAGCCGCACTGCTTTCTGGGGTCACGTGGTATCTGGTGTTACAGGAAGTTGGTTAAATGAAGAAACTTATCCATTTACCCTCGGGTATACGGATGAGCTGATAATGTTTCTGCTGAGTGTAGGAAAGCCTTATCTCCTTGGTTCCTAAGTATCAGGAATTATAAGTGGGATCCTTACAAAACACACACTGATCATGTTTCCCTAATCCCATTACACTGGTGGCAAAATCCAAATGTAACAAGACCTTATCAGGATCTTCAGGAAACTTTTTCCCGTTTCAGCCAAGCTGACATTTCTTCTATTCCCATACATACAAACCACACTCTCCTTCGCTTCTTAGGGCCTTAGCACATACTATTCCTTGTGCTTTAAGTAACCCTACCCCGGCTTGCCTGACTCTACTTCACCCTTCAGATCTGAGTTGAGAGGCCTTTTCTTCCAGGAAGTCTCCCTTGACCTTCCTGGACTGAGGGTGTTTGCCTTGGCCATGAGTTTCCACAACGTCTTGAACTTGTAATTATCCAGATTTTTTTTTCCTTGTGCTGTGGCTGTTTCCCCTAGACTTAAAGCTCTGTGAAGGCAGGGACTAGGTCTGTCTGGTTCACCTGGCCATCACAGACGTTCAGATACCTAAATGAAGGTTGATAAGGTTTCAAAAGATGAGACAGAATTAGTGGCGATTTCGCTCTCAGAGAGTACACCAAGGCAGCAGAC